GTGTTTTTCATAGGCTATATGTTTTTTTTTGGATGCAATTTTTTTTCTTGCTTGCACCTGCTACACACTGGCCAAAAATTTACTTTCAGCCCATGTGTAACAGCTGTCTGTTCTACAGAAACGGGTTTCATGAGCAGCTTCTGTCGCACAGGCATGCTGCAAAACCATCATTCGATCAATGCTGGCAGCCGATGGCTGCCAACTCTGACCAGTGTGTTCTGGCAGGGACCAGTGCCCCAGTCACAACACAAAGGCACTAACGGCAATCTCTGTGAGGTTTTTTTTGTTCAGCCAGCTGGGTTGAACGAAAAAAAGCTTCTAGTGTGTACATAGCTTAAGTCCACATGCATTTCACAGCTAACAGGATGCATGTGTATTTTTCAAGGTGTATTTCCTAATTGTTGTTGGCTGGAGATATTTGAACTCCAATGTTGGGGTATATTTTCTTATATGTACAGATCTGAACACCCAAATAATTTTTATCTGTCTGCAACAATTGATTGATAGCTGGCTCTTGCCAACACCTGATCTTCTTTGTTCTTATTAAGGGGTTAATTCACCTTTTCAAAAAAATGAAGAGGTGAACTAACACCATGCACCCTCTCCATCCCTGGTCCCTACTGTACTTATCTCCATGTAGGGTGGATCTAGAGTGGAGTAGCTGTATCTCTAGTGGTGTTTGATTGGTACATCTTGTAGTTTCTTATGTAATGGTACATCGAAGATCTTTGAGCCATAAGTCCCAGTGTTTCCGGAATTTAGCAGATGAGTTGTGTATTTGAGCAAAGGTTTTTTCGAAGGCTGTGTTTTTTGTTCAGGATTTCAGTTACTGTGTGAATGGATGGCATTGTAGTTTGTTTCCAAAGCCTGGCAATACTCAATCGTGCCGCTATCAAAATATGCATTAGTACAGTTCTGGACTGTGGTGGCCAGGAATCTATTCCTATTCCCAAAAGTGCCAGGGCTGGATCAGGAATTGGAGAGGAGTTTGTAATTGATGTTATAAACGTGAAGATATCTAACCAGAATGGAGTAATTTGTGGACATTCCCACCATATATGGTACAAGGATCCTTGTTGGTTACAGTTCCTCCAGCATAATGAGGAGTAGCGGTTGGATGAACGTGCTGCCAAATGTTGTGGAGTTATGTACCATCTGTGTAATATCTTTTGGTCTGATTCCCATAGTTAATGCATCTGGTAGTTTTCATAATCCAGTTTCCTGCTGTTTGCCATTGTTGAATCTGGAAATGTTTCCCATTTATGCATCGTTGGTAATTTTCCTTGGTGACAATGTTGAAGAAGGATATTATATATGAATGAGATACCTCGTTTGTGAGAATCTATTCTTTCATAAAAGTTGGTCAAAGATCTGAGGAGAGAATCTTCTTGGTATTCCAGGTTGCATAATGCATGACGAATTATTAGATATTTGAAAAAGTCCTTATGCGTAATTTTGTATGTTTCAGAAAGTTGTTGAAATGTTTGTAGGGTACCATTGGCATATAGTTGGGCAAGATTTTGAAGGCCTGCTTTTGACCAGGATTTAAGTTCTAGATCAGGTGTCATCGATGATATGGAGAGTAGAGGAATGAAGCCATTAATTGTAGGGTGATTTCCCTTTGAGGTTCGTAGAATAGACACACAGGTGCGGAGAGTCACATTGATTGTGTCTAGGCAGTATCTTGGGGCTCTATGGGTGAGAGTAAGAGCTCCCAATGTGGCTTGAGTGTCACTATGGATAAGGGACTGTTCTATCTGTACCCATCGTTTGTCTATTTGAGGTGTCCACCAATGCTGTGTCTGATCCAACACTATTGCTTTATGGTATAATTGTAGATTGGGGGCTCCCATACCTAAATTTGATCGAGAAGTGTATAGTGTCAATTTGTTGACCCGTGCCTTTTTGTGTTCCCAGATGTAAGTGTTTAATAGTGATTGTAGTTTTTGTATGGATGAAGATAGTAATGGTATTGGGATGGCTCGAAAGAAATGTAAAATGTGTGGTAAGATAAACATTTTTACAATAGCAATTCACCCAACCCATGAAATAGTGGTGTTGGAGAACTCTTTACATAGTTTTGGTATTTTAATGAGTAGATTGGAAAAGTTGATCTTAAATGTGTTCAAGTGGGGAGATGTTAATTTTATTCCTAAGTATGTAATTTGTGATGATGTGGCCCATGAGAAGGGGGAGATTGATGAAATTTGTTTATGTAGTTTATGTGGGATTGCTATCGACAACATGGAGGATTTGGCTTCATTTACTTTGTACATGGATAATAAGCTAAATTGCGAGATAACCTTTTGCAATGCTGTTATTGAGATGATGGGGTTGGTCATAGCAGTTATGATGTCATCAGCATATAGTCCTATTTTATGTGTTTCGTGACCTATTTTGATACCTCCAATGTCAGGTTGTATACGTATCGCTTCTGCCAATGGTTCTATGCATAAAGCAAAGATTAAAGGTGATAAGGTACACCTTATCGATATCTGGAATGGGTCAGAGAGTATACCAGATGACCATATTCTAGCACCAGTTGTAGGTATGGCCAGTAGATTCTGTCAAACGCCTTTTCTGCATCTAATGAGATGAGTAGAGATGGTGTTTGTGTGTAATTTGCCCATTGAGCTAAATTTATGAATCTACGTGTGCCGCCTGGTGCTTAACGTCCATTGATAAATCCAACCTGATCTGAATTAGTTTTGGTAATAATGATTGAACTCGGTTGGCTAGTAGTTTGGCATAAATTTTTGTATCTGTACTTAAAAGTGATATAGGTCTAAAGTTGGCTGGTGATGTGGGAGGTTTGCCTGGTTTCGGTAATGTGATAATAAGGGCTTCTAATGTTTCTTTTGGGATATTTTCAGATGTTGTGAATTTATTAACAAATTTATGTAGATATTGGATAAGGGTTGGAGCAAAGGTTTTGTAATATTCATTGGTATAACCGTCAGGTCCTGGTGATTTGTGAAAAGGGAGATCATGAATTATTTTATTAATTTCAGAGGTGGTGAAGGGTTGTGATAAGGAGTCTAGTTGTTCTGTGGAGATCTTAGGAAGTTGGAGTGATTCCAGAAACGTATTGATTTGGTTATCAATAGGAGGTGTAAATTCTTGAGAATATACACACTTTTTTTCTTCGTCTTCTAGCCAATGCAGTGACATCATGACAGCTTCCTCTTTTCCTTCCTGCGGCGGCAGGAGGCGGGAAATGAGACACAAAAGCTGTTCAGTCCCGGAGCACTGTGAGCCAGCATACATAATTATGCACCCCCTATAAAGCTTATAAACAACAGGCTGGGCTCACAGGAAATGGGCAGAATGACATGAGTGTTGTTTCACCCAAAGGGTGCTGTCAGAGGGGGACCCAGAAGGCCAAGGGCTGGAACGTTGAGAAGGTAAGTAGAATTTTGATTTTTTTTTTAATTCAGGAGGAATAAAAATACTATAAAAAAACAAATTTAAAGCACTGTTTCTGCTTGCATTCCTTCTTGTCCTTGCAATTGCAAGTGCATTTGATTTCCATATATTTTTTTTTCATTTGATTTCTATTTGTATGCACTGAAACCAATTAAGTTTATTTGTGTTTTTTTTTTTTCCATTTTTCTACTTAAATAATAACTCTAGAACAGTGTTTCTCAGCCTTTTTCCAGTTGGGGCACCCTTGAAAAGTATTGTCAGTCACGAGGAACCCTTGTCCAAGGCTTGGTTCACATTACTGTGTGTTGCAGAATGCACACAAAATCACACTCATTCCTGACATGCAGACAAATGCTCTGCTGTTTATGGGTACCCCCCATACATTGGTAAACACGGGGTGTTTTTGGTGTGGCGCAATTTTAAAATTAAGGTCAGGGATGACTTTCCCTGCATTTCTGCGGGTAAGGCATTGAAATGAATGCGCTGCCCTACACACAGCCACACAGATGTGAACCAAGGGCCTGGATATACATATGCTGTTGCCACAGCTGGAAGTATACCTCCAGGTGAATGGGGTTATACTACAACCACCCTGCAACTGTGTACGCATCGCATGCAGTTGTGGTGTTGTGATTGATGCTGATTTTTACAGGGTTATACTAGGTGGTGAGGAGGCAACATATTGTCAAATGCCTCTGAAATGTGATCTGAGCATGGATTGCTTTTCAGAGGAGCAGCAGACTTTGCTGCTATTACAAACAAGTCCTAAAAAAGCAGTTCTGAAAGGACAGGCATAGGGTCGAAATTAAAAGTTAAATATATATACACACATATAAAAACAAACACACACACATACGTACACACACACATGTACACACACACACATGTACACATGTACACACACATGTACACATAAACACACACTCGTACACACACGCACAGGCACATGTATACTACAGCATTATGAAAAGTTACAGTTCCTTAGCTTCCATCACACAGCCGGGTACTGCACTCTAGGGGGAAGCAGAGAGCACAGAAGACACTCCCCTTCCCTTTGCTTTCACTTTGCTGAGCGGTGTGATGGCTCCCAGTGCCGACATACAGTACGGCTGGGGATCGGGGGATTGGGAGCTGGGGCTCAAGTAACAGCCATTCTCCCCACGGCATCCCTGAAGACCTCTTGCGGCACCCCAGTTGAGAAAGGCTGCTCTAGAAAGATATAATCTATAGCACCCCAAGTGGTCCAGTAACTCTATGGTGACCCCTATAGGATATTTCACTGTAAAAACCTGGCTGTCAATGCCACTGAGCAAGTGTGAAATTTTACATTGTGCTTAAATCTAACAACGCTGTAGACTACATCTTCCTGAAGTAATTCTTAAATTTTTTTTTTTTTAAATCTGTAACCTAAAACACTATAATGCACTCCACTCCACTAATCTGACCTTTAGGTTAGATTACAGTTATACAATTTAATTGGTCATTTAATTAATGCCAAAACCTCTGGTTTGTTTTTCTGTGACTATTTTATGAGCAGGATTGAAACACTTATCCATGTATTTAATTTGCTGTAGGTCTAGAAGAAGATTTGAATTGTAAATATCGTAGCAGCACAACAAATGCTTCAGTACCAAGGAACAAAGAAAACTACAGTAGCCAGGTAAATATATTTAGGAATGTCAATAATTGGAAGGCATAAATGACATGTTCATCCTTTCCTGATATAAATATTCAATTGTTATAGCATAATTATATTCAAGGCAGCTATTCATACAGGTGTTGGGCCAGAACCAACAATGTTTTGGTGAAGTCAAGATTTTTCAGTATCTATGTTTGTACTAATGCAGGGCTATTTTTCCTTTTTTGTTTGCTGTTTATTGTCTGTAAATTAGATATCCTGTAAAAAAAATAGTAAATTTTTATTTAGTAATGATGTAATGGTCACATGGCCATGATTTGAAGTTAAAAGAAAATTGAACCTTAGGTTGAGGAAAGGGTTCTTTATTGCTAGAACAGCAAAAATGTTGATCCCTCCCCCAAGAAGTGGTACAAGCTGAGAGTGTTGACAACTTCCAATAAATTTAGATGTTTTCCTAAAAGAAGAATATGTAGGGCTATGGGAATTGTTAGAAAATAAAAATCAAACACATTTATAAACACACATAGGTTGAACTGGATGGACCTTTGTCTTTTGTTTTAACCATAAGCTACGTAATTATACTTTAACCACTTGTCTACTGGGGACATTTTTTTCATTTTTTTGCACACATGTTAAAATCTGCATTTTTTACTAGAAATTACTGTAAATGCCCCAAAAGTATATATATTTTCTGCAAGCAGAAACCCTATTGCACAATATTTTCGCAGTTATTTATCAAACCCATATTTTCATGAAAAAATACACCATAATGAATTTTAGTGCAAACAAGCACAATATTATACCAATTTTTGACAGAATGTAAAGTTGGGGTTGTGTTGAGTAAATGGACACAAAACATGTTAAGTCTTAAGAATGTGTATGTCTGTGGAATCGCAAAAAAAAACTGTAGTACCCCAAAAGGCTTTAAAGGCCTTTACAGATCATCAGTTTAGAGTTAACCCTGAACTATGGCCCCAGAATTATTAGTCTCACTACATTTGCGACTATACCTAACATGTGCTGCAATTGAATTTTATATACACCTGCTTGCCCAATTATTCATTTTTATATCAGATGTGTGCAGAGGTGATGGGGTGCAGTTTTTAAAATAATTTGCATTTATTCAATTAAACATTTTTTTTTACACTTCTTTTAATTTACATTTACAATTTTTTAATTTACAAGCCTCCTATGTGATAGCATGGGCAGGTGACTGGTTCTCTTTATGGAGACATTGGGTATCAATTAGACCCCCAATATCTCCCTTGCCCTCAAATCAACTATTTAAAACACAGGTTGTGCTTCAAGAGCCCCATAAAAGTAATCACTTTTATCAGAAAGCCCTTTGTTGGCTCTTAAAACTGATCTTGCAAACTTGATTTAACCACTTTTCTGCCATGAAATGTACCTTGGTAGACAAATGGTTACATGTAGATGTCATCATCTATTATTTGTTGCAATCATTGTATCTTTTTTTTTTTAACTATCCCAATCTGTTACGGTCTTTTTACACAGGCATTCAGATTAGATTCCCCATTGATTGGAATGGCGAGTGCCCATGTGAAGGGGTCTTTGGGTGTTACAGGTGTCACCCCTGGCAGGTGATGCAGGCTTTCTCAGAGCTGGAGTCTAAGTGACTGATTGGTCTTCACCAGAGTACCCCACAAGCAATGATGGACTGGAAACCCTAGTGGCTATTTGGCTGATAGCTGTCACTAGAGGGCAGCCCTCGAAATTGCTCCATCAAGGGTTCACTGGAGCAGGGTGGCAATGTTGAATGACAGGGTAGAATGATGCAGAAGGTTGGTGTCGGAGAAGAGGTCGTGGCAGGTGGCAGGCAGGGCGAATAACAGGAACAAGTAGAGTTGGCCATTCAGAGCATGTTCTATATACACTTTCTTTTAGAAGAAGATGGTGTCTTTTGAATCTTTTTCTGCAATAATGTGCATCAAATGAAGTAGTTAACTGAGAATATCTACTTGCTAGAGAATACATATTTAAAAACAGTGGTTAAATATTCCCTGTAATTTTCTGGATATTGTCTATGTTAGGGTCAGGACTACAAATAAAATGAATGTGTGTGTATGTATGTATATATATATATATATACAGTGGGGATCGAAAGTTTGGGCACCCCAGCTAAACATTTGTATTAATGTGCATAAAGAAGCCAAGGAAAGATGGAAAAATCTCCAAAAGGCATCAAATTACAGATTAGACATTCTTATAACATGTCAACAAAAGTTAGATTTTATTTCCATCATTTACACTTTCAAAATAACAGAAAACAAAAAAATGGCGTCTGCAAAGGTTTGGGCACCCTGCAGAATTTATAGCATGCACTGCCCCCTTTGCCAAGCTGAGACCTGCCAGTGTCATGGATTGTTCTCAATCATCGTCTGGGAAGACCAGGTTATGTCAATCTCAAAGGTTTTAAATGCCCAGACTCATCTGACCTTGCTCCAACAATCAGCACCATGGGTTCTTCTAAGCAGTTGTCTAGAAAACTGAAACTGAAAATAGTTGACGCTCACAAAGCTGGAGAAGGCTATAAGAAGATAGCAAAGCGTTTTCAGATGTCAATATCCTCTGTTCGGAATGTAATTAAGAAATGGCAGTCATCAGGAACAGTGGAAGTTAAAGCAAGATCTGGAAGACCAAGAAAAATATCAGACAGAACAGCTCGCAGGATTGTGAGAAAAACAATTCAAAACCCACGTTTGACTGCACGATCCCTCCAGAAAGATCTGGCAGACACTGGAGTTGTGGTACATTATTCCACTATAAAGAGATACTTGTACAAATATGGTCTTCATGGAAAAGTCATCAGAAGAAAACCTCTTCTACGTCCTCACCACAAAAATCATCGTTTGAACTTTGCAAATGAACATATAGACAAGCCTGATGCATTTTGGAAACAAGTTCTGTGGAACAATGAGGTTAAAATTGAACTTTTTGGCCGGAATGAGCAAAGGTACGTTTGGAGAAGAAGGGGCACAGAATTTAATGAAAAGAACCTCTGTCCAACTGTTAAGCATGGGGTTGGATCAATCATGCTTTGGTGTTGTGTTGCAGCCAGTGGCACAGGGAACATCTCACGAGTAGAAGGAAAAATGGATTAAATAAAATTTCAGCAAATTTTGGATGGTAACTTGATGCCATCTGTGAAAAAGCTGAAGTTAAAGAGAGGATGGCTTCTACAAATGGATAATGATCCTAAACACACCTCAAAATCCACGGGGGATTACATCAAGAGGCGTAAACTGAAGGTTTTGCCATGGCCTTCACAATCTCCTGACCTCAACATAATTGAAAATCTATGGATAGACCTTAAAAGAGCAGTGCGTGACAGACAGCCCAGAAATCTCAAAGAACTGGAAGACTTTTGTAAGGAAGAATGGGCAAAGATACCTCAAACAAGAATTGAAAGACTCTTACAAAAAGGTTTACAAGCTGTGGCTTGCAAAAAGCATGCTATAAATTCTGCAGGGTGCCCAAACTTTTGCAGACGCCCTTTTTTTGTTTTCTGCTATTTTGAAAGTGTAAATGATGGAAATAAAATCTAACTTTTGTTGACATATTATAAGAATGTCTAATCTGTAATTTGATGCCTTTTGGAGATTTTTCCATCTTTCCTTGGCTTCTTTATGCACATTAATACAAATTTTTAGCTGGGGTGCCCAAACTTTCGATCCCCACTGTATATATATATATATATGTATATATATATATATATATATATATTATTTTTTTTTAATCTAGGTACATAGTAACTATTGCATACAAATACTACATAGTATTTATTCAGTCAGCAGGTATAGCTATATGTTTATTTTCAAATGTTTATCTCCATTTACAAACTATTGAAATAAGCCCTTTGTTCACAGGCTTAGTAACTCAGGCTGCAATTAACAGACAAGAAAAAAGCTAGTAGTAGTTAGTCACAATCAGCTGGCAAATTCTACATGTCAGAACTCAGTAGTCTTCACCCCTCCCTCTTGCATTTTTTATTTTTAACACTCTATTGCCCAGTGGATCCAGTGTTGGCTTGGTTCTCCTCGGGCATCTTGACCTGGCCGTCTATTCTAGGTTTAAGCAGCTGGCCCATTATGATGCATGCCAACTCTGCCCACCAGCCGCTATGATTCACTACTTCTAAAGCCTCCTAGAATATGTGATTGGCTAATCCCAGGAAGCTGCAAGAGCAGAGACACTCTATTTTCATTTAGGGAAGAATGGTGGCAAGGGACAGGGATAGCAAAAAACACATAAAAGATGAAACAAAACAAACATATAAATCTTTAACCACCATTTTGCATTGCACCCGGGGCAGGAATGGAGGAAATTTAAGTCACTCATGGAAGTGGAGGTTAATTTTTACAGAAAAAGGACATTATTTCTATGACAGAGTGGACAACTAGTTAGAAATAGAAATTTAAAAAGCCATCTACGTCAAACTGGTATAACCATCCCTGAACAGGGGTGGGAGCTTTCAACACATTTGTCTTCCACATATAATGCTGTTTTAACATCTCTACCTTGGCGATTTGACAGCAATTCAAAACAACTGACACCAAGGATAGGAATATATAACTGGAACACTGGGTCCAGAATATTCACACCTGGACAATCAATATATTCACATTCCATGTTGATTGAGTTTGAGGTGTCTGTGCTTCTGTGTGGAAATATAGTAAATGCTGGGATTTCGTCCTGACTGTCACTGGAACAAAAAAAGTGGCTTGAAAAAGCTCTGAAATATCATCAACATTACAAAAGAAGCCTAGTTGAATGTGACTAACTGCTACCAGCTATACCATTACCTGGATAAATGAGAACCTTCACAGACAGACAACAGAATGAGTAACACCATGACTCATCTTTTGTTGATAGCTGGGAACTTCAAACAAATGGAGGAAGGAAACTAGGAGATTTCTAGTGTGCTGTCTTTTTAGCTAACTCATAGTGCTCTGGTTTTCTCTTTAAGGTACCTTACTGTGCCCATTTAGCTGTGGGTTATT